CTTTCAGATCCACTTGAGCGTACTCGCCCTTGGCACATCACCACTGATCACAGCGAAGCGGCCGTGTACCAGACTACCAGAGAAGGCAAAGGTGGGCACAGGAGCAAAGCCGGTTTCGAGTACATAATTGTACCGGTAGATACCCCGGCGACCCTTCATCGTGTTACAAGTCAGTGGCAAACGATGATTTAATTGAAAGAGCAATTCTACAGTCTAGAGTGCATGGGAATTACCAGATTGCTAGTGTTCTCAAGAGTCAACACGGGGTCACCACAGGGATGGAGCAATGCCACAGTTACTTACCAGGCAGAAGAGAGCAGTGAGAGGCGGTAAATTTGTGTTATACATTTACATGTACATGTAACCCTGCGTTTCATGCACACTGCGAGGCTAGATCGAATGTAGGCAACTCATAATCTGTTCATTATCATTCTGGCAACGAACCAGTGCAGCACCCATTTCCCTTGATGCACGGGCCGCGATGCTGCGCAGGTCACTGGTGGGCCTCCCAAGTCATTCCAGAGCCCCGGGTGACCCCACTAGGCCTTTGCGGATTATGCCGGCAGAAAAATTGGCAGAATTCGGTACTTTTTCTGGTGTCATGCATGTTTGGTATGTGTATAAAGAAATGGAACAGAATTCGAGAAATTGCCCGCCATAAGGTTTGTATGGTTCTGCCAATTTCACTGCTTTTCGAGCAGAATCTGCCACCTTTTCGAGCATTATCCGCCAATGCCTAGGTCACCCTACACAGCAATTCTGCAGCAGTCCAGAGGATGCAACCAGACTCATCCAATGGATACAGTCAGTGTAACAAATCAATACTGAATCATCATCCTGGTGACTTTGATAGCAATAAAAAATAGCAATTGTGCACTCATAACCATACATGTAAAACAATTAAAATGAAACAATTCCACTTTAGGTACAGTACTTCGAAGTACTAGTTTATGCCACCCTGGATTTACACCACCGTTGTATACCGCTCTACATAATAATAATAATTATCATAATAAACATGGTTAGACTCGGGTGGAGACCCAAGTAGGCATTGGCGGATAATGCTCGAAAAGGTGGCAGGTTCTGCTCGAAAAGCAGTGAAATTGGCAGAACCATACAAGCCTTATGGCGGGCAATTCCTCGAATTCTGCTCCATTTCTTTATCCACATACCACACAGGCATGAAACTTACCACAAAAAGTACCGAATTCTGCCAATTTTTCTGCCGGAATTATCCGCAAAGGCCTAGAACCAAGGATTAATTTATAAGAAGAAAAGAGGACCGAAGAGCTACAAGTTACGCTAGAATATCCACTAACATCACCAGTTACTTTACAATCAGCTCATGCGATAACATTGCACGACATTGACCAACGGTTCTGACGTTCCAAACCTAACTGGCAATGTTAGTTGTAGAACGTCAGTACATGTACCGTCGGTCAATGTCGTGCTACGTTATTGCATGAGCTGATTTTAAAGTAACTGGTGGTGTTAGTGGATATTACAGCGTAACTTGTAGCTCTTCGGTCCTCTTTTCTTATTAAACATGACGAATGTTCCACACTTTGCTTTACACATACCCATAACTCGGACATAATTGTATCTTCAGTTCTTACAAGAGTACTCTTGCCTTGCCGTGTTTTTAGGACTGTCTTATCATGCATGTAATTCCTTTGGCCTGCAGTTGCCCGCGCGTGTTCACCTCATTGGCCTCGCTCGTTCCTCATTTTCTTTTGTTCATTTGGCTTACCGGTATGCGAAGACTAGCCAAGCTTGCTTGGTGATGTCAACGCGGACAAGCGTATAATAATAATAATATACCCTTGAACTCGGATGGAGAGCCAAGGAATATTTATAAAAAGTAAAAAGGACGAAATAGAGGTTGCGACTTCGGCGATGATTTTGTTTAGGAATGGGTTTGCTCCCACACTGGAGCTCGCGTTATTCCGCCGACGACTTGACACTTGACTGACTCACGACTGCCATCCAGAGAACACGAGAAGTCCATCGAACCTTCGACTCGGCAAACCTGCAAGAAAGCACCACTCCCTGCTCAATACACAGTGTTTCGGGGAATTCACCCCTCATCAGTTGAGCTTGAGTAGGCTGAGGAAGATTGTGACTGGACAACACTATATAAGTGGTGCTCTTCAGGCACAATCTTCCTCAGCCTACTCAAGCTCAACTGATGAGGGGTGAATTCCCCGAAACACTGTGTATTGAGCAGGGAGTGGTGCTTTCTTGCAGGTTTGCCGAGTCGAAGGTTCGATGGACTTCTCGTGTGCTCTGGCTGGCAGTCGTGAGTCAGTCAAGTGTCAAGTAAAGTCGGCGGAATAGCGCGAGCTCCGGTGTGGGGAGCAAACCCTTTCTTACAAGTCATCGCCGAAGTCCCAACCACTACTTCGTACTATTATATTCTACCTATAATAATAATAAGCGATGTGGGGAAGAGAGGAATGACCAGTCCAGAGCACCTCAACTCTCAAGTGTAAAGTCAGCGCCAGTGGTGCCGTGTGGACTGCCACTAGATCTACTAGGCCCTTGATCTTGCCTGAACCGGGCACGATTGCAAGAAGGTCCCGGCAAAATGGCATCGACATAAAAGACTAAAAGGAGAGAGAACATGGCTGCTGGTACCGTTACTGTCCTTATAAGGCATCCACCAGAGTGCTAGCACAGGATCATGTGACTGGAGGCATCGTGAAGCAATTCTGCCGCAGACATCCACAAGCTGTCTTCGGATATGGAGCCACCGACAAGGACGTGTCCCGGGCCTTGGGCCTGGCTGTTGCTAGGTGTTGGCGGATAATGCCGGCATTATATCGAGCATTATACACCACCCGGAGCATTACGAGCATTATAAAGCATTACGAGGCCAAAAATGGCATTATACCATGTTCTAGATGACCATGATGACTGCATAGTAGATCTACACACATCCTCATGATGAGTCATGTACATGTACAGATTCGTATCGGCTATACTATAGCGTTGGTCTTTGATTGGCAACATTTTATTACTATCGCGATGTATTCTAGTACTACAACAACAAGCGATAGACCCCCGCACACATCATCATGATCATGCATGGTACCAAACAGATCGTGGCACGCAGTGCCAGGCCCAGTATACTGCATGCAGTATAGTGCTAGCTAGCTGTGGTCCAGCACAGTGTGGAAACTCTCGCAGAAACTTCCGGTCCCGGAAGTCTATCTTCGGCCATGCCAGCAACTACCGGTACTGCGGTAGCTTACTTTTTGAAGATCCAGGTACCAACGCCGAACCAACGAAACAAATGTGAGCCAGCATCAGAGCATGGAACGGTGGAGGTGCGCACACGCACGCATTCCAGACCTTACCCGGTTACCAGGTCCACAATGTTACAAAAAACATTTTTCATCGAAGCAAGAGTCCATGTCTTTGTCGAAGAGTAACGCTGGACTTTCACCGGACATTGACCATTGTGTAAGACCAGCTAACTAGCAGCCAACGCTGATGGCTGACTCGCCGCGATGCGGTTCTTGGGATTGGGAGGAAGCTGGGCTTTCTCCAGATGAGCTTTTGGCGGAGTCCTCTGATGATACCTGATAGTGACGTCGTCGAGTTGGAAACTGCTGATCCTGCCGCGAGCGGTCTTTTCAGAAAACAGCTATTACCTAGTCTGAAAATGTTTCCAAAAGGACGCGAGTACTAGTAGCTCATGGACAGAGCACTGAAGTGGCCATCAGTGCCGAAACACGGGTGCGGAGCCGCTCAAAAGCGACTGTGGCAAGTTAGGGTGCCTGGCATGCCATACAACATTGTCAGGGAAGAAGAGTATAATCATCTCCCATATTGCTACCGCGAGACACAAACAAGGACAGTCCCGTTTGGAGAGGGAAACTCAGAGGCAGAAGCTGGTCAAGGAGTCCTTCTTGGCGTATCAGAACGACTTGGGAAGGCATAGCCGGCACTGGTTTTACTGAGGCCGTTCGAGTCTCTGTGGCGGATCCAGATTGTGCGTTCTATGTTGCATAGCATGGGTACAATATTATAGCGTTTTTCTTAGCCCGATACCGCAAGGTTCAGGAGTTTATATTCCATCCGGCGGAGCATTATCAGCATTATTTGGAGCATTATATGGCCTTTTGTGGAGCATTACTGAGAGCATTATATCCCATATTACCGAGCATTATCCGCCAACACCTAGCTGTTGCCCTCACTTACCTACACTGGCTACATGACTATTGATTGTACTAGTCTTGTACTGGTACATAACTGTATTGTACGATCACCTTGAGCCTTGACCTACATGTAAGAGTCATGTACATGTACCTTGACTAACGTCACTGGGTCTAAGTAATAATTTTTTTTAAATTAATAATTATTACTAAGTCAAGCACATGTATTGTAGGTCAAGAAACTAAAAAGTCCCTTGCCGCTGTCATGGTTCGTGGCTATGACTCTGAGAGTATGGCTAGTGCAGTAGTGGATGCATCGCAACTCCCTGCGCTTCCTGTTGAACACTAGCCTTGACTAGACAGAGGTGTCGCCGGGACCGTAGACTTGCATGACACGAAGCTCATCAAGCTAGTACGACAAGGACAAAAATTAACGAGTGACAACTCCCGTAGCATGCAGGAGCAGAACCTGTGTGTGTGTGTGTGTGTGTGTGTGTGTGTGTGTGTGTGTGTGTGTGTGTGTGTGTGTGTGTGTGTGTGTGTGTGTGTGTGTGTGTGTGTGTGTGTGTGTGAGAGAGAGTGTGTGACAAGTCGAATGTCTTCACTGAACTAGTCGTGTCACTTGTCAGTGCAAGAGTTAAATTTTGACGCGCTTGCCTTCGATCGAGCGAATACATGTAAAACATGCAAAACGCAGCTGCCCAGAACCATGCATGCAGCGCATGACACCGAAATCGCGTGACATCAACCTGACTTGGGCCATGGGGCGGTAGATCTTAGGACTGCAGGCGCGTTCAAATCCGAGATCCAAGTGTGACATCGCATCTCTCCCCGTGATCCTGGCTTGCAGACTTGCACAAAACTGCTGCAAAAGTCGCATCCGAACTGACTCGGAAAGGATAGTTGCAAGTCAGTTGGTTGATTTGAGTTCGGATCAGTCGTCGTCTCCTGCAGCTGCAAACTTACATTTTGCTAGAGTTTGTTGTTCCAACTCGCGATCGAGAAGGTTTGCAGGGGAGATGAAGGCGACGCTGCTAGTCTTGTGCGGCCTGTTGGCCTGCAGCTGGGCGAAAACAGTGCCTGTTCGAACGGTGACATACGATGGAGATCGCGTGTTCAGATGGTGAGGAAAAACTCAAAGTCCGATTGAATACCATTGCTAGTGCTGAATGTTACAAAAGAGACGTCCCATGTACTGTAATGGGTTTCGGGGCATAACTAGCTCTATTCATGTTGTCGGTGTGCGGTTATTCTTCGCCCGGCCTTTCAGCAAGCTAGCGTGCATGCTCTCCTTCTGTCGGTTCTGACGGTATTTGAGGGTGCAAAATAACACCCACGGCTACTTGCTGTTGTCTTGAGACTGTGAGTGTGACGTTGCCAAACCAGGTTATCGACAAAGGGCCATATCTGTGCAGTTGCACCGCTTCATATCATGCGCGTACTTTTAATCGTTTTATTACGTGAAAGGTGGCGTGTAAAACTGTGAGAAGTGACGTGTAAAACTGTGAGAAGTGACGTGTAAAACTGTGAGAAGTGACGTGTATAGTGTGTAGTCTAGTTGTATGATACTTGTACATCAGGGTCGTTGCATTTTAAAAGCTGACGCATTGTCAATTGTGGACCAAGGCTAATACTAGTAATACATGTAGTTTGTTGCAACTCGAGTCGTGAGCGTCATGTTTGTGTTTCCTTATGCACCACCACCAGGCAACAAGCGACACCTGAGCACTCTCAAAGCACCCGGGTTGCACCATTTGCAGTGGAAAAATCAAAATGATTGATGTAGCAGCTGTTGATGATACTATGGTGTTCCATGCAGTACACCCTACTCTAACCGGACACCCTTGGTGCAGCGGAATCTGTCCTGATATGACAGGATTCCGCTCGATCCAGGGATGGACGTTCAATCCACAGCACTTTGGCGCATGAAAATGTGTCCGGTCAATACAGAATCCCGCTCGGTGCGGAGTCCGGCAACACGCAGGTTTTACTGTGTAGAGTGGTGTTCACACCTTGGTCATGTGACTAAATGTGTGTTGAAGGTGATCATGTCATGTGGACAGTTGAACCAACATGGCTGACATCATGTGACCCATAGATGCAGGGGTTGAGTGGAGTTGGAACCAACATGGCTGTCCTGTATGGTCGTGTGATAGATGTGAAATCACCCTATACTCTATAGAAAAGAAAAAAAGGACCAAGGAAGTACAAGTTACGCTATAATGTCCACTAACACCACCAGTTACTTACTAGAACAGTCAGCCCATGCGATGACATTTCACACCACTGACCGACGGTACTGACGTTCTACAACTAACTGGCTATCAGCTCTAGCACATCTAGGATGCGCACTCCAATAGCCTTCCAACTATACTTGAACGGTTCTTATCTCTATACTGCTTTTGTCCACTGCACAGCAACTCCAAGGAGATGAGCAAGACGGAGCTGGCCAAGATCTTCACGCACGACGCTGCAGACATGTGGGCCGAGCGCGCTGATGGTACGTTTGACGTGCGCACGCTCTCCCAACAGGAGCGAGGCGCCGATCTCGAGGCCATCCTTCACAGCACCGCCGCCTGCAACATGGTCATTGCCAACGTGGAGGACTACATCGCCAGCTTCGAGGCCTCCGCTCGCGTCGCCGCCGAGAAAGTGAACTCCCCGGCCGCATGGCACGACGACTACGTGAGCATGTGCTAGCATATTATGCAGGTGCATTCCCTGTGTAGTGTGTGATGATCGTGCATGGAGTGCATAGCTGGTAGAGACTCCTACCGTGTTGCACACCGGAAATAGAACGGAGAAATTCCAACGTGCTGGCTCTGTAAAGTATGGGATAGTGCAAACTGCCTGCAGGCAATACGCTCATACACCTGTGTGTGGTGCTGTGCAAATCTCAATAATTATTAAAATCGCATGGTCATTACCTGGTTGCACAGCCCCGGAAAATGAATGCACCTCTGTCTTGTTCGGACTTTGAGAGAACAAAAAACACTCTTATTATTATGGCTGTTCTTGTGTAACTTGCTTCTTTCTTTGCAGCACACGTATGCTGAGATCTACGCTTGGTACCAGGAGCTGGCTCTGGAGCATCCCGATGTGCTTCACTTCGAGTCCACCATCGGCGAGTCCGGCGAGGGTCGCCTGCAGCCGGCCGTACACATCGCTGGCGGCTCGCGCACCAACAGCTCGCGCCACCGCATCTACTTCCAGTGTCAGATCCACGCCCGTGAGTGCTAGTGCTTGTGCTGTGTTTTGCCAGGTGCTGTTGTGGTCCTGTGTGCTGTATACCGGTATGTGCGTGTTCTTGGGGCAGCCATTCCAGATAATTCATTGAGCGTCCACGTAGTCGATGTCCGAATTATCAATGTCGTTTAAAAGCATGAAAATATGCTATGACAGTAAAAAACCTGTGACTAACGACCACCCCTTCGGGCCAGAGAAAGCGGTCTTTAGTGGCAGGTGGTCCTTAGTTAGAGAATTGCACCGCACATCCATATGTGAATGTAAGACCGTCCGTGCCTGGCGCAGTGGTCTGTAGTACGTGTACCAGGCTGGTCGCTAGTCACGGTGGTCTTTAGCTACAGGTGTTACTGCATACGCTCACTAGCCAGCGTCATTCACACTGCTATTGCTCACGCTGCGCTAGTCACGTTTTTGAAGCTGTTGTTAACTTAAAAAGAACATCTGAGTGTAAATGCCTGTGTTTGTTGTACTCCACCCAGGTGAGTGGATCAGCGGTGCGACATGCATGTACATCGTGGACTATCTTGTCAACTCTTATCACACCGACACCAGGGTAAGAGATAAACTCTCTCTGTCTCTGTCTCTGTCTCTCTGTGTCTGTTTCTCTCTCTCTCTCTCTCTCTCTCTCTCTCTCTCACACACACACACACACACACACACACTCTCTGTCTCTGTCTCTGTCTGTCTGTCTGTCTGTGTCTGTTTCTCTCTCTCTCTCTCTCTCTCTCTCTCTCTCTCTCTCTCTCTCTCTCTTCCTTTTCATAAGGCTTAGGGAGTTGAGTTAGCCCTCCCACACTGATAGATGCATGTGCTAAGGGGAACTGGAACCAACATGGCTGACATTACTTGACCCACAGATGCATGAGTTGAGTGGAGTTTTAACCAACAAGGCTGCCCTGTGTGGTCATGTGATGGGATGCACAACTGCTCTGTAGTCAATGGAATGAATAAAACAACTGCTCTGTAGTCAATGGAATGAATTTTATTTTTGCATCCCGCTAGCATCTCCCGAGGGCAGACTCACACGGCCCGCTTCGGGTAGTGAGCAAGTCCAGCACAGTCCATGTACACGTCTGTGCGTGTACTCGTGTGTGTGTGTGGGATTCACTGGCCAGAAAAAGCCACTTCAAAGCTGTGTGGTGTAGACCGGGCTGAATAGTGGCGGTCAATTCTTCAGCCTTGCAAGCTGTTGAATGGTGCAATCCCAGCACAAGTTGCTATGGCTTCTGCTGTAGCGTCGCTATCGGGCGTCAAATGGTCCAAATGGTGTGCGTGTGTGTGCACGCGTGTGTGCGTGTGTGTGCACGCTTGTGTGCGTGAATGTGTGTGCACATGTGTTTAGGTCCGAGAGTTACTGGACACTATTGAGTTCGTCGTCGTACCATTCACCAACCCTGATGGATATACCGTAAGTACCATAATGGGTTGATCGGTAGACACCGAACAAAAATCACAGTTCGCGCGAAAAAGGCTGACAAAATGCTAAACATTGTAGAAATAGTGAGTGCCTATGGAGTATCTTCCGGTACCAAAACTGCAAGTCATTGTAGGTACAGTTCATCCAGCCTCCGTGTATGTACTTAGAGGTCCTGCAGCTCGTACTAGGAAATTACAGCTTATGTTGTGTTTGGCAGTTCATACAGACTCTTTGAATGTATTTTTTATATAAAGGTCTCACTACTCGTCCTAGGCAATATAGCTTATGGTGTGTTTCTTTTATCATAATTTATAAAATATTTATTTTATGTAAATAATCGACGCGGAGACAACAATTTTATAATAGCTATAAAGAGAACAAATTCTGCTGTCATCGCCACACTACAACAAAGTCATGAAGGTTTACCAAAATCGATTTTCTTGTCACAATCATCAGTGGAAAGCCGTGACTGAAGAATAACCATGCCAAATCAATCATTTATATACATTCAATAATGTGTTACGAGAACAAAACAAAGTGCTAAAAATAGAATGAGGTATTCTATGAGGTATTCTCTTGGTATTCTAAATAACCTACATCCTTCCATACGCTTTACTTGTGAGCACGAACAAGCGAACAAACTTCCCTTTCTAGACGTCCTTGTGGAAAAGTCTAGTCAGGGTACAGTAACATCTGTGTACAGAAAGCCTACATTCACCGGCCAGTACATAATGTTTGACTCGTATTGTTCGTACCAATACAAGGTGAATTTAGTGCGTAACTTGGTGGATCGAGCAAACCGTATTTGCTCCTCTTCCAAACTGGCGGAGGAACTGGACTTCCTAAAGTCAGTTTTTCTAAAGAACGGGTATCCCGACGATCTCTTGAAGGAGCTCATGAGCGAAAGGCTGCATAGAAAGGAAATTCGTTTTGGCCCGGACAAATGTCCCACGTATCTTTCTCTCCCTTGGAAAGGTAACCTCTCATTATCCATGAGTCGCGTGGTCCGCAAAATGGTACAACAAACGTACTACGCGGTACATTTGGTACCCGTTTTCACAACTGTACGTGCGTTCACGGTGAGGAAGGATGTCCTACCAACCCAACTCGCATCTAAATTGGTATACCAATTTGAGTGCCGACAATGCGGTAGTCGGTACGTTGGTAGGACTCTTCAACATCTGAACGCACGTATCAAGCAGCACGTCCCACTGCACATGCTGACTGGCTCGGCACGGGCACTGCGACCCAAACGCGGCAGGCCACCTAAGAACCCTCGATCAGAGCCATCGTTAGCACAATTGCCGTCGACGGCAATAGTGCCTCCATTACCCGTATCGAGAGCCGTGGAGATGGATAATGTGCACATTGTCACTAACGTTATAACACAATGCACCATAACAACACAAGAAAGTACACCACAACAACATCCGGCTCAAGACCAAAGTGGACGCTGCGGCGAGGTGATCATGGTGATGCCCCCATCGCCATCGTTGCCGTTGCCTCCCCCAGAACCGCCACCTGCATCTGCCATCGGCAGTGCTGGGGCTGAGTCTGTGGTGTCGCTGGCACGGGCAAATATGGATGAGGTAAGCACTGAACATGAACTAGAAGAAAGAAGGCTGAAGGAAACGGAATTCAACAGAGAAAACAACACGATCAACATTCAAAGACCTAGACGATCAACGGCTAATTATTCAATGAATTATTACAGTACTGGATGTCAAGCACCGGCGAAGACACTGGGAACAGAAGATTTGGCAACAACAGGAACAACAACAATGACAACAACAACAATGGTAACAAATTACCATCAAGATCAAAGGAGGAGTCAACGAACAGAGGTTCAGCAACGTGAAGCGAGCCTGGGACCGATCGGTGGTGATGAGGAGAATGACACGGAGGACGACACTGAGGACGAGTTGGAAGATGAGACGGGGGACGAGGTTGCGGTTGGTGGAGACGAGGAATCGGATGGTGATTGTGATCGTAAGAAGTCTGCCGTTTTTCTTCATCTGTTGTCTCACCCTAAGTGTCTGCAGGTGTATGATGATTTTAGTTTTTCTGTTCTTTGTCGTGCACGGTACGCTAGTCAGTTGAAAGTACTTGAGGCTGTTTGTATTCGTTTGCATAAGCCTGATCTTTGTAAGCAGAAGAAACATGTAGTTGCGTTAAGATTGTTTTCGTAGGTGCACAGCATGATTGTTTGTCTCACTACACAGTTCTAGCGTTGCAATTAAATCCTCACCCCTGTTGCACTTAGCTCTCACTTTACTTCTATTGTCTCACCTTCCCTCATTCTATTTTTAGCACTTTGTTTTGTTCTCGTAACACATTATTGAATGTATATAAATGATTGATTTGGCATGGTTATTCTTCAGTCACGGCTTTCCACTGATGATTGTGACAAGAAAATCGATTCTGGTAAACCTTCATGACTTTGTTGTAGTGTGGCGATGACAGCAGAATTTGTTCTCTTTATAGCTATTATATTTATTTTATATTAAAAATATTGTGATTTTCACGCAAAATCCTCCCCCCCCCCCCCCCTCTCGGCCCGTCCCTACCACCACCACACCACCAAACCACCACCACCACCACACCACCACCGCAAATCTCCATTATGCATTCTGTGTGCTATTTCACTCGATCCTTTATCCATGCTCAGTACACATGGAACGGCGACCGCCTCTGGCGCAAGAACCGACGTATTAATGCGGGCAGCACATGCCGAGGCGTCGACCAGAACCGCAACTACAACAGCCACTGGAACGAGGTTAGCCGCGATGATGGTTGCATGCTGTGCACGTACCTTAAGACCACGAATTGAAGCTAACAATCTCTGGATTTTGTTGGTTGCCACGGTGAGGTGAAATGAAATTTTAACGAATTCTAGCTGTCAAAACTCGGTGTTTTCGCACTGAACATGCACATAGTTTTGCAGAAAATGACTTCGCTAAGAAAAGTCTGAAGAAAAACTGGATTTTTTCTTGGATCAAGCAGCCTTGTATTTGTGCAATGCACAGTGATATTGTAGATTTTTATTCATTTATTTTTTATTAAATTTTATTCACAATCACGTGGCACTAGCCAATGAAATGGTGATGCGGGCGATAGCCAGCCATGGCGGTAATAGAGCTAGAGGGGAGAAAGAAAAAGAATGAAAGGGGAACTGAAATGTAAGATGGGTATTGTACTCAAAAGTTCAATGCGGAAAGGTCTGTGGCTGAATTTTGTGTGTGTGTGCGCGTGTGTGTGCATGGTGTGTGTGTTTGTGCACGCACGTGCATACGTTCATGTCTGTGCATGTGCGTACACGCCGGTCTGTTTTCAATTCCGCATGATGACCGGGCATGCAATGGTGCAGGGCGGCAGCTCCAGCAATCCTTGCAGTGAGACTTACCACGGACCAGGACCTGCCTCGGAACCCGAGACGCAGAACACACAGAACTACTTCCGGTTAGTGGAATCAATGCGCTGTGCTATGCGTTACGTTTCCAGAGCGACGAGGAGAATCTAAAATGGATTGCAACCCAAACAGGACCAAAGCGACGGATGCGTGCATAGGGGCAGGATTCATGTGCTGAATTGGTCGGTTGTGCGAGGCAAACAGGGTGCTCTAGAATCTAGTAGTAGTAGTAGTAGTAGAATTTATTATTTTGATAGGGAAGGCCTTACAGGGAACCCTAAGTGCTCTTTACAGAGCGGAACAAAAACGGATAGATGCTCAACCTGATGACACGAGACAGGCAGAGAATTCCACCTATCAGCGCCAAGGAAAAAAATAGAGAACATGCCATATCTAGTGGTAGCAGCGGGCAAAGAAAGTGAAGAGAATGATTGCCCTCTAGTGCGCCTCTCGGTGCAAGTAGCAGCCGACTGGAGGTTGAACATTGAGGAAAGAAGAGGACTTGTAAGCTTATGAATACAGCAGAAAACATCTATGATCACCATTGCATGAAATGATGTGCGCATTTAGCTGTGTACAGTTCTCAGGCCCGCCGGAAGGCGGGCGAAAATGGTCTGGTTTGAGGGGGCGAGGGGGGGGGGGATCTCCCCTGGGCATTTTCGGTCAGAAATAGCAGAATTTGGCCCTTTCCCAAGTTTTCAGAGCCCGGCCCTATGGGAGCATGTACAAATGTATGCATGATCGATAATGTACATGTCAGAATTTTTTCTCCCCGGTTTTAGACGAATCCCAGGGGGTGACCTGAGCCAGAGTTGGTCCGGTGACAACCGGGCCAACAACCGGACCGGTTCCAGCGGCCCTGTTTTTGCATGTGACGTACTGGTTGATAGCGCTACAGCCCCTACCAAAGCAAGCTACATAAAAAAAACACGAAAAAAAGGCAAAAAATCCTTCGAGCCGGATTCGAACCTAAACCTAAAGATGACTGTACATCCCAACGATGCACACACTACAGTCTTCCGCTCTACCAACTGAGCTATCGAAGGAGACATGCATTCCAAGAAAGCCACATAGCCACAATCGTATCTGTGGGGCCCTTTTCTTCCATTTTCTCTCCATTCAGCTACTTGTATATTGATTTTAGTCAGTTTGTTGCATGTGAGCGATTACAAGTGCCATGGCAGCATGTCACTCATGTTCATGCTCTTCTTCTTCTGTCTGTCTGTGTACGAAATGTAGCGAGAACTTCCCGATTGTTGGAGCCATTGACTGGCATTCCTACTCGCAGCTGATCCTCCGCCCATGGGGTGAGTTCTAGTGTGTGTGTGTATGTGTGTGTGTGTGTGTGTGTGTGTGTGTGTGTGTGTGCGCACGTGCACGTGTGTGTATGTGTGTGTGTGTGTGTGTGTGTGCGCGCGCGCGCGTGCGTGTACATGTCGTGTGTGTGTTTGCTTCCTTCCAGCACCCCTGAAATTAGAATGCGTGTGTTTGTATAGCTTACTGTTGACAAGAGTTTGATCAGGAGTACTGCCGTTTGTGCTCTCTCTCTCTTTCCAGGCTACACGAGCCAGGACAGTCCCGACGAGTCGCGCCTGAGCAGCCTGGGCTCCACCATGCGCAGTCTCATCCTGAGCGTGCACGGCATGTCCTACACGTCGCAGAAGTCCATCGGCCTCTACCCGACCAGCGGAACCGCCAGCGACTGGTAAGCACCGGCGACAAACTCTGCATGATACTTAGCTATACCTGGTCAGTACAAAGTGCAGAACTGGGCCTCCTCCTGTCCTCTTTCATTCAACCAACATGGCTGATAAACGTTTTTTTCAGAATTCCCAAACTCCATTGCAGCGTATTTCTTGCACTTGAAAATACCGCCATTCCGGCAACAGGCTCTCAGCTGCACCAAAATAGATAACTTTGTCAGACGAATAATGCAGGCAGATGAATGTTCTAGAACTAACACATCGTGGTGACACAATTGGCAAGGCCAGCAAACTAAACAATTATCACTTGTAAGGTGACCTAAACAGAACGAAAGAAGAGAAAACTCACACATACACACAGACACAATTTGGCAAGAAGGCAAGAAAACTAACACTAACACTAAAGTTTACAATCATCACCTGTAAGTTGACCTAAACAGAAGAAAGCCTTGAAGATAAGACTATCACAGCACGTACAAGAACACTTTCAAGTGTGGGATCGGGAATGCTAAAGGCCATCTACATGCACAGGGGCGTGCTCGGCCCCCCAACTAGGGGGGGTGCACGGGAGCCGAGGGGAGCCCCCCCCCCCGGCAATTTTCTGCAATTTGTTTGCAACCTTTCTTGAATTTTAGAGCATATTTGCATACATTACAATTGCAATTGCCCAGATTGAAAATATTTGGGGGGTGCACGTGCCCCCGTGCCCATCGCCGAGCACGCGCCTGATGTATGTATATGGCAACGGTGTATGTGCAAAGTACAGTTCAGTATGTGTATGTGCTATACATACCGGTTAACCATGGACTGCTTCTGGCTAGATTAAAACTCTTGTGTAATCAATGGTGCTAGTGAAGCTTGTATCAGATCCACTCTGATTTAGCCACCCACACTGGTAGCGAGTATTACCTTCACTGGGGGCAGGGGTAACTGCAGTTGGATCCCGGGGCGGATACCCTGATGCCGTCAATCCTTTTTCTGCACCTTGTCCTCACCCACTTACTGAGGTGTGGTGAGCCCATAAGTGGGATCATTTTCAAGTCCACCCTGAGTTTTGGGGATTTCAGGGGGTGTCGGCCGCTGGGCAGTTCAATAGCCAATTGAGTCATCTTTCCGAGATTCCTTTTGAGTCTCTCTCCCCTCTCCCGGGGAGACCCACGTGACCAGTTTTTGGCAGCGAACAACAAGTACAAGTAAGTGTGTGTGTGTGTGTGTGTGTGTGTGTGCGTGCATGCGTCTGTGTATGTACAAATGCGTGTGTGCATCTCTGTGTGTGTGTGTGTGTGTGTGTGTGTGTGTGTGCGTCTGTGTGTGTGCGTCTGTGTGTTTGCATCTGTGTGTGTGCCTGTGTGCATGTCTAGGTTCTATGACTACGAGGCCAACGAGGGAAACCCGTTCCGCGCCGCCGGCTACACTGTGGAGCTGCGCGACACCGGTCGCTACGGATTCCTCCTGCCACCGACCGAGGTAAGCTACGCGTGTATGCAACATGCAGGCCCGCCGGAATCGGTCCGGTTAGGGCGTGTTCAGACTACCGTGAATCCCGTCAAACCGTGAATGGCGATAAACCGTGAAGGACATTCACACTACCGATAAACTAACGACACGTTACCTGGTCACCGGTACGTACGTTTTGCAGCTCTCACAGCGGCACTGAGCAGGGATTTTCCCTTTTTCCCTGCCTGAGCACTCTTTTTACTGCCGGAAAAGTTTTACTGCCGCAGCAGCCGCGGCAGTAAAACGTTTCCGCCGGTAGCGTGCCAGTAACGTCACGTGATCAAATCACCTTGGAAACTTTCCCTTTCGGTCACTTTTTATCGGTAGTCTGAACGCGCCCTTAGTCAGGTCATCGCCGTACCAACCTTGTGGCTACCAACACATATTGCTAAAAAGGGCATAGTGTCCCCGCCATATCACACACAACTTGAAGCATGACAGACTATGTGGTACGACCGGACCAACTACTGTAAAACCAGAAATTTTCGGTGGTGTTTTATTTTCAGCAACTTTTGTGCCGGAAATTTTTACCTAAAAGTAAAACGGACCAAAAATGTCGGTACTAGTACTAGTACACTTACCTGGAAAACGGGTTTACCGAAAATTTCCCTGAACCGAACCGCCGATTTTGGAGAATACTGAAAATATTACGCCACCGAAAATGTCTGCTTTTACAGTGATAGCTGCTCCCGGCGATCAGTCGAGTCATCTTTCCGATATTCCTATCGAGTCTCTCTCTCTCTCTCTCCCATCTTCCAGGGAGACCCATGTAACCAGGTTTGGCAGTGAGCAAGGACAAGTACAGTCAGGGTCATTTCTATGGTGCGAACTGCGAAGCCCGCAAGGCTGAGCCTGACTAGCGGCAGGATTCGAAGTCCGAAAGCAAGACAAGTAGCGCGACAACAAAGTGTGTTACCACTATTCACCCAGGTATCAGAGAGGTTCCGGAGTACGAATTTCTCGTGTCAAAATCCGTAAAGGAGCTACGGATTTTTTATACGTCGTTTTCGAGCTGTGAAATGTTTTCGGAGTACGGAACTTATGTGTTTGCAGTCATTGCCTAGGTTACGATCGCAAACACGTCATATTCCCGTGCTATGCCTTTTTATTTTGAAAATGTGGACCGAAATCAAAACTTCCCGCGGAAAATCGATGTTTCTCGTATCGAATTTGTACTCGAAAAATCTTTCTGCACTCGATGACGCAAAATCTCCACACGAAACATGGTTCGTATGAAAAATCGTATGAAGCACGCCTCGAAAATATCCGTAGCGCCCACACGGATCTTACCACGGAACATCTCTATTCCCGGTGAAGGGTGTATCAATAATTCATGCAACAGTGAATCACATAAAAAGACGAAAAAAATTGAAAAAAAATCCTTCGAGCCGGATTCGAACCAGCGACCTAAAGATGACTGTACATCCCAACGATGCACACACTACAGTCTTCCGCTCTACCAACTGAGCTATCGAAGGAGACACATGATGCATCCCTTTGCCTTGGACAGTCATCATTTGAACCAGGGGCGTCGGAAGGTACTTCAGGATGCTACATCCATTATTGCAGGTGAAAATCAAAGGAACATTCCTATTATGGTCAAAAAAAAAGAAAAAAGGAGAAGGACAAAATGTTACAAGATATGACTAACTGTGGCAGTGTCCACCGACGTAACCAGATCATATACAGTTAGCGAGTGTGACAAAATGGGACAAAACAAACAATTTGTCGCGCTCGCTGACTGTATACGATCTGGTTACGTTGGTAGACAGTTAGTCATAACTCGTAACATTTTGTTGTTCTCCTTTTTTACCATAATTAAATCGGCTCACCATCAGAGTTCAACTTTCCTCAGTATTGACCTGCGAAATCAATGCTTGTGTTTTAGTATTCACCGAGGTCACGGCTTTTTCTATTGTCACGTGATCACCTGTACAGATCATCCCTACTGGGCAGGAAATGATCCCAGCCGTACTGGAGTTTGCAGAGTCTCTCACCCGCGACCCGCTCACCAACTGAGCAGGCTCACGCGCACGGGCCGATGGTCGCGAGAGCGGCGGACATCACGGAGACAGCTTTTACATGCGTGCAGCTCGTTCAGCTGCCGATCTGTTCTGTGTGACGTGATGATGTCATTATGACGTCACCAGTGAATGGCCGTTGGATATACTTTGTTTAGTTCTATTAGAGGCATCGCTAACTGGCCTCCAAGTGGCCTTGTGATATTCTACCTACATGATTGTATTTCTCTGAGCTGGTCTTTCACTGCCAAGCCCAATGTCGTTTCGTTACATTTTGTGTAATGTTCCGTTCCCTCAGTCTATGAATATTTGTGTATTCTTATTTGGAATTTTTCAATTTACGCACAAAGATTGACTATTTTGGATTTCCTGCTGCATGCTAGTTAGCAGTGGGCCTAATTTTTGATAATTTTCTCTCTCTCTCTCGTATCTGTAAAGAAGAGTGCGGGCTGGTCACCGGCTCCATTGCTAAGACTCTTGAACTGCACACAAGCGCGTGCATCATATGCATTTCCCTGCCCTCATGTGAGCCCCCCATCTCCTGAAGAAGGGAGAGAGACTCAAAAAGAACCTTGGAAAGATTAGATGGCTCAGTTGGCTATTGAACCGCCCAACGGCCGACACCCCCTGCAATGGGCCCCAAACTCTGGGTCACCCTCCCCCCCCCCCGGACTTGGGAAAGATCCCACTTACGGGCTCACCACACCTCAGGAAGTGGGTGAGGACAAAGTGCAGAAACGGGATTGCCGGACGGCATCAATGTACCCGTCTCGTTATCCAGCTGCATTCACCCCTGCCCCCAGCGAAGCCGGGTAGTAGAAGATGGATGGTGACGGATAAATCAGAGTGGGTCTGATAACGGCTCCACAAGCACCATTGATTACACAAGACACACCACACACGCACGCACACACACACACACACACACACACACACACGCACACACACACTGTACTTACTGTACTTGTTGCTCACTGCCAAAACTGGTCACGTGAGTCTCCCCCGGGAGAGGGGAGGGAGACTCAAAAGGAATCTTGGAAAGATGACTCAATTGGTTATTGAACCGCCCAACGGCCGACACCCCCTGAAATCCCCAAAACTCTGGGTGGACTTGAAAATGATCCCACTTATGGGCTCACCACACCTCAGTGAGTGGGTGAGGACAAGGTGCAGAAAAAGGATTGACGGCATCAGGGAATCCACCCTGGGATCCAACTGCAGTTACCCCTGCCCCCAGTGAGGGTAATACTTGCTACTAGTGTGGGTGGCTAAATCAGAGTGGATCTGATAAAAGCTTCACTAGCACCATTGATTACACAAGAGTTAATCTAGCCAGAAGCAGTCCAGGTATGTATACTTCAAATAGAACTTAGAGTATATGAACCCTGGAACCAACAAAGGTGGCAGGTACAACATTACACCTTAAAGCAGCCGAGCCTGTTGGCAACAGACCCAACACAATCAGGCATAAGTGTACCTACCAACCGAACTAGCTGGCACACACACACACACACACACACACACACACACATACATTGTGCACACCGCGTGCACACACACACACACACACACACGAGACAACGGCACCTGAAGTACCCGGGCAAGGATCAGGGCCATTGCAAACATCTACTTGGGGAAAAACTTCAAAAAAGCTCGCGGCGGCTTATTCGCCCCATGGCATCTTGGTCCAGATGTATCAAAGTCCCTTTGGAGCAAAGAAGAAGAAAAAAAGGGTAAGTACTTTGATACATCTGGACCAAGAAAGAGCAAGACTCATTTGACTGACCAGGCCAGGTGAAGACCCCCTGAGTCAAAGGGGAAAGGCCAAAAAAATCCTTCGAGCCGGATTTGAACCAGCGACCTAAAGATGACTGTACATCCCAACGATGCACACACTACAGTCTTCCGCTCTACCAACTGAGCTATCGAAGGAGACATTTTGTCGAATTGCACATCAGGATATCGTGGGTTATGAACTAACTTACTTATGATGCACACACAAGGCAGTGTGGAGTCTAGGCAAAGCCCGATTTTGCCAGGGAAACTTCGATATTTTGCCGCAACATTTTGCTCGCCCATCGTCGATATTTTGCTTTCATTTTGCCAGGTCACTCGATATTTTGCTCCCTTTTTGCTCCAATGCAAGGCCAAATTTGGGTCACGTGTAGGAAAACTGACCGAAAGTGGGTCACGTGTTGGCAAAAATGTACGAAAATGAGTCACATGCATCGTATAAGTGTAAATCTCCCAATTTCCCGCGAACATACCGATATTTTGCTCCATTTTGCCAGCAAATTCTCTCGTCAAAATTCTTCGATATTTTGCCAGCAGAATTGCTAGCAAAATCGGGCTATGGGTGACCTGGCGAGTAGATCTACTCGTACAAACAGTGTGCATCCTATTCCACGATACCCTGATGTGCACTCCGGCAAAATGTCTCCTTCGATAGCTCAGTTGGTAGAGCGGAAGACTGTAGTGTGTGCATCGTTGGGATGTACAGTCATCTTTAGGTCGCTGGTTCGAATCCGGCTCGAAGGATTTTTTGCCTTTTCCCCTGCTGAACCAGAATCAGACTTTTTATTAAATTTTATCTTTTTTGAATAACAGAATCAGACTGGGTGCATGCATGCATCATAATAATCATGTCTTGCTTTCTGGCGACCTGGGACCAACCGGAACCCCCCCCCCCCCCCCGAGCCTATTCTTCCTACACATTGTAGGTCTGTTGCAAAACCTGGGTACCATTATGATAAAACCTCACCACAATGTGCCATGCCTGGTCACAACTGGTCATGGTCACCAGGGCACTGGGCTAGGATCAGACAACAGATCGTGGGTATATTGAAAGATTTTTCAACAATTAAAAAAAGGAAAATTCCGCTTCGAAACAGTGGTGAGCCAGCCAGTCCACAAAGTACACGTTTGCATCAGTTGGCACACTTCCATGTGCTTCAAAATATGTACAGCGTGCTAGTAAAGCAAAACAAAAGAGAGGCATACCTGGCCTGCTGCCTTCCTATAAAAGTCTAAAAACAAGAAGCAAAACAAAAAGCAAACAAAATTAATAGTTCAATAGGCAGTCCTATATATACAGCTATCCAACTATCCAGTTGGTTCTGTTGATTGCGATACTGAGAAAAAAAAACAGTGATCGAGAGAGGGTTGGGGGGAGGGGGGAAGGGGAAGATATACATTTCAGGCAACCTAGAAACACAAAGATAAAGAATAATCAAAACGAGCATAATTATGATCCAGAAGCTAGGTAGATTGCAAAAATCTACCTAAACGGATACAATGACACACCTAGCACACCCACACACACCTCCGTCGGGGTAGAGTTCTCTCCATGGCGCCAGTGCACAACACGGGAATGTCACAACGGAAGGAGGACAATAGAACTGGCTAAACAGAGCTAACAACAGACAAACAGAGAGAGAGAGAGAGAGAGAGAGAGAGAGAGAGAGAGAGAGAGAGAGAGAGAGAGAGAGAGAGAGAGAGAGAGAGAGAGAGAGAGAGAGAGAGAGAATGAGAGAGAGAGAGAGAGAGAGAGAGAGAGAGAGAGAGAGAGAGAGAGAGAGAGAGAGAGAGAGAGAGAGAGAGAGAGAGAGAGAGGGGGAGAGAGAGAGAGTCGGCGACAACACCAGAATTGAAACCTAATACTATTCACACGTACACAGCGAGCCGCACATTAAAAAAAAAACATGACAATATAGTCGTAAAGCCAAGTGCCCGCACTCGATCGGAAAATACTCTTGAAGTACGAAAAAAGAGGATATCAAGTTCAAATATACAAATATGGAATACAGAATCTTCAGCTTCCGCATAGATGCCTACTCGGCGCACATAATACTTCAGCAGTGAACGAACAGAGAATGACCCACTGGATGAAGCTGAGCACAGGGACAGAGAGAGAGAGAGACATGAGACACAAGCGGTAAAATGTACTAGCAATTCAGAATGCTTTAAAGATGCTGCCAATGTAAAAAAGGCGCGCGTGTGTGCGCGCGAGCGTGTGTGTGTGTGTGTGTGTGTGTGTGTGTGTGAGAGAGAGAGAGAGAGAGAGAGAGAGAGAGAGAGAGAGAGAGAGAGAGAGAGAGAGAGAGAGAGAGAGAGAGAGAGAGAGAGAGAGAGAGAGAGAGAGAGCGAGAGCGAGGGAGAGAGGGAGAGGGAGAGAGAGAGAGAGAGAGAGAGAGAGAGAGAGAGAGAGAGAGAGAGAGAGAGAGAGAGAAAGAAAGACAGCTGCCCGAAAACTCTATCAACACCGAATCACTACAGAGTCAGGCGTACACTGCAGACACTCACAATGTGCTTATGAGCAGCAGCCCTTCGACTGCTCCTTGTCGTTCGCACTGACACTGCCCCGATCTCGGTCCACGACGGCCAGCGTGTGTGCAATGCTCGGCGGTAATGAGGTGGCCGACTCTCCCGCTGGTGGCATGCCCTGGAGCAGGGTGCGCTGCAGGAAGTCAAACACAGCCTGCACTCCATCTCCCGTCTTGCTGCTCGTCTCGAAGTAAGCGCTGTCCCAGTTCGGACAGCCCACCGGCAGTGGTGCGCCGCGTGACTGGTTGTGCTCACGGGCAAACTCCATAGCTGCATGTAGATGTGTGTGTGTGTGTGTGTGTGTGTGCGTGTGCGCGTGTGTGTGTGAGCAAAGAGAAGCAGAGAGACAAGATTAGTGGATCCGATGGCCCACCACCACCACATCTATCGCATAACCGCTACATGACTCCTACTGACACGAATCCACTCCTAACAAAACAAAACAAAACAAAACCAGGGTCGTCACTCTCCTGTAGAGATGTCTAGATTACGTCCGTGCTGCGGTACCTCCACACCTTTCAACACCCCCACCTGCCCCCCCCCCCCCCCCCCACACCCACCCACCCACCACCACACATACACACACACTGCACTTGCTCACTGCGAAAATTGGTCATGTGGGTTTCCCCGGGAGATGGGAGAAAGACACACACAGGCACACACAAACAAATCATTCCCAACAAAACCAAACCAGAGTCGTCACTCACCCGTGGAGACGTCGACATTGCGCCCGTGCTGCGGCACCAGGTCACTCTTACACGCCACCACGGCACACAGACACTTGGGATTGGCGGCGTCCAGCAAGTGAAGGTAGCTCTTCTGCAACGAGTGGAAGCTGCTCACGTCCGTGATGTCGTACGCCAAGATGGCAGCGGAGGCGTTGCGTGCGTAGAACGAGGAGAGGGCGTGGTACTTCTCCTCACCGGCTGTGTCCTGCAGGGGTATGTATTAGAACGGCAGCGTAAAGAAGCACAAGAAAGCATTAGACACATCGTATTGCGTGTGCACGTCTGCATGTGCCTAGAAGACGGAGTGTGTGTTTGCCTTTAGGCGTATGTGTGAATACATCGCCTCCAACAGAGTGCAATTGTCTTTACAACCTCTAGCCTATGCGCAGCGACAATGGCAGAACTTCACATCACATGACATTGTTTAAAAAAAAACTACGGCGGTAAACAGTGCAAAGTGACCAGCAGTGAGTTTAACCCAACGCAGGATTCCGTACAAGCCGGTGTCCATCAAGCACAGGGTGCAAACAATGTGTATGCGGGGTCTGTCGCGTGACGTGAAGTTCGGCTATCCGGCGAGAACCCGTAGCTGGAGTCTCTTGGGCGTTCCGTACCCTGTGTGCGCTACTGTGAATCGCTGTACGGCGACCACTCAACGGACCATACACATGTGGTTGCAAAACAGAGAGGTTCCAGGCTGTCCAATAGAGTACTCAATACCGAAAGGCAGAGCTAGTTCAAACAATAATAAGAGGACAGAGAAAGTGTTTTAACGCTGAGTTTCACGCACTAAGCGATCATCAGACAACAGCAATGAGTAAATCCCGATACTGGCTCATATATCCACAAAGCAAAAGTGTAAATGACAGCAGGCGTGAAAGATTGCATCATGGCATGCGGTTGCCGTGTACAGGTGCTCTCCTTATCCACGGTCATTCGACTGGAAATACTAATCCCGGGTCCAAGTTGTCGTGGTCCTCTCGGACAGGTGGTCGCCTTGACAGATCGTACCGTCAGACCTCGCTTAACCGCACACATCCCCGTTTCCCACAAAACTATCCGGATAGGCGAGGGAACCAGATAACCGAGCACTGGTTACGTTGGATGCACCACATATGCTGTAAATCCGTAACCAGCTATTTTCTTCCGGATGGCGAGGGATGCGGATAAAAGAGGAGCGGACAAGCGAGGTCGGACTGTATTGTACATCCAGGTTACGACACACTGACACCGCACTGTGCCGTAACCTCACCAGGAGGAGGAGGAGGCAACGGTTCACTTACCCAAATAGCCACGTGATACCCATCCCAATGCTTGAGAAAGAACGAAGCTCCGATCGTCTGCAAAGAAAATTTACAAAAACAAAAACGAGGAGCCAAATAAAAGAACTCCCAAGCCAAAGATCTCTCGCCATAATACAGGATTCGGAAAAAAAGTTTTGGACGAAAAAAAGGCAAAAAATCCTTCGAGCCGGATTTGAACCAGCGACCTAAAGATGACTGCGCATCCCAACGATGCACACACTACAGTCTTCCGCTCTACCAACTGAGCTATCGAAGGAGACAGAATAGGGTAGGGAATACAGTCTACATGATTGTGCTATTCATACACGTAGCTGTTCTGAAGCAATTTACACCGGCCGGTTTTACGAACTCTTGACAACACACATGATTCTTTTTTTTTCTCGGTAGGATCACGTGCAGAAACCTCTCTGCCAAAACCTGCTGAAATCTACAATCCCGTAGCTTCACCGAAATATAAGACAGCTTTCATGTGCATGCACGGGTATAAGCTATGACAGTTCCAATTTCAAAACTCACCGCTTTCGTACTCTCAAAGGTGCCGTGCAGGTAACGCTGAATAAGACATGTCTTTCCTACCCTCGCCGCTCCCAATATGATTACCTTCAAATCACTGAAC